TGCCTATCAAGCATGAAACCCTGAGTTCAAATCCCGGTACCATCAAAAACAAAAACAAAAACCCAGAAAGACAATGGAATTTATCCCTATAAGTTAAGGGAAAGGCTGAATGAGTTGAGTGATTAAAAAAACCCAAAAAACCTGAAAAGGTGTACAAGGCTCAATTTTTAAATTCTTTAACTTTTCTTAGGTACTTCTCTAGTTATGGAAGTGATCTTTTGATAATACACCTATTTTTTTGTTTAGGACTGGGGTTTGACCTCCCAGTGGGTTTGACCTCCCTGCTTGCTAGGCAAGCACTCCATCACTTGAGCTACTATGCCAGCCCTTTAGATACGGTTTGTGAACTATTTGCCTGGGCTGGCTTTAAACTGTGATCCTTCTGATCCCTGCCCCTCAAGTTGCTAGGATTACAGGCATGAGCCACCAGTGCCTAGCTAATGGTCCAATTTTTCCTGGAGGAATTTACAACTCTTTTCCTTCCCTTTTTTCCTCCATTTTTATTAGCATATGTAGTAGTGCTAGAGGTTTTATTGCGGTGTTTCCATATATACAGATAATGTACTCCAATCAAACCCATCCCCTCTATCAGTCCCTCTCCCCTCCACAATTGTGTCAGAATGAATTTGAGAATTCTTAAGATTCTGCAGCATTTAATTTTGGCTTAATAGTCAAAGGAATCATAAATAAAGACAGCTTGTTTGCCTTTTAGAAGTAGCTTTCAAGGAAATGTACCTTGAATGCAGAACACAGTAACTGGTTAAGTATTCAGATCTAATATTTTCATATCTCATATTAATGCTTATAAATGAGGACATCTTCCATTTCATTGAATATATTCTGAGACTTCTGGTTATCTTGGTATATGTAGAGAGCATTTCCCAATTTTAAAAATATGGTGTACAGAGAAGAGTCTGTATGGCTTTGTGGCTATGATTTCAAATTTACTAACCATAAAGTTTGACAATAAAGACTGCATACAATTTTATGAAAAATTAAAAAATAATATATCACATTGGAAAATACATACTTTAATATATGGTGATACTAGTGAAGAAACTGAACTGATTAAAGTTCAGCAGTCTCTTGACATCCATGGGTGTATGTTTCCAAGGAGACCACTCTTGAGGAAAAACTAAGAATGCTCAGGATACATAGATTTCAGTACTGCCCTGTGGATGCTTGATTCATTTTTTCCATAATTTCATCAAGTGCCATGAAACACGTGCTACCTTTCAACAAACCTCACATTTACTTTATAACTTAAATTTAAACATATTCTTTGTAGCTTGCTCATTGTGCACCATCTGCTTTTTGGAAGGTGTCTTTTCACAGAACCAAGAGCAGGAAAACATTCAGCAGATCACACGATTTGAACACAACTGACGATAATGTGCACCGACAAAAAGCTTCTCCACATCAACCGAGCTGTGGAGTGAACAGGCAGGAAATTAAAACTTTTATAAATATTAAATTTATTTTTTCAAAATTTATTTTTGACTGCACTTGATCAAAGCCACATGCAATAAATTCTCTAATAAAAAGGTGGGCTTAATGTATGTTAATACATCTATCAAAAATAAACATTCTGTGTTTGTTCATTTCAATATTCAATGCAGCTTAAAATATTGCCTTAAAATATTTTGCCTGAATGTAAATATATTTTAACCTAAACAATGTTAACCTAGATATATGTTAACCTTGATTTATCAAGCTACATCTTGATATAATTCTACTTTGAATTCCTTCCTTTAAAAAGAAGTATGCACCTTTGCACTCTTCTCCATAGAAAAATAAATTACTTGGGCAACCTAAGAAGATTAACTCTCAGACGTCTTTATCGTTAGCAGTTATCTGCGCCTGCGCACGCCGCTAAAACGCCCACCAATCACCGGGCTCGGCTCCCAGACGGGCGGGCCCAAGTTGCATGCTGGGAGCGCTGTGACTGCAGAGCGCTAGACAACCAGGGATTTTCTTGGGAGGAATTCTATTTCCCAGCAGTCACTGCGCAGGACCTAACAAATCTACTTCCGGGGTCGAAGACGCAGTAAGGTGAGGAAGAAGTTGGTGGCTGCCAGAGCAGGGCTCAGTGACAAGCGGAGGGTGGGAGTGTGTGCTCGATGGCTTTTTGCGTAGAAGCAGAAGGACGTGTGGACACCGAGCGCTCTTTGTAGTGGCTGTGTGAGTGTCACTGTGCGGTGTCTCTCGGCTCCTGCTGCTTGCTGTTTTTCTCTCACAGCTGTGTGGACAGAAGCAGACGAATGGCCCAATAGGAAAATAAGGTATTGAGTCTAAAATGAAGCTCATCACAGGAAGGTGCAGTCCTGGATTTGGGCTGGGAATTTGAGACCCCGAGGGCCTCCGAGTGTCACCCAGGACGTCTGGTCGGCGTTGCGAATCCCGGCGTTCTTAGAGCTCCGCTTCTAGCAACCATTCTGCGCACGTTCGCTTCTGTTCTCTTTTGTGACGTGTGGCAACGCGTGCCCTTGGAAGATGCTTTCAAACTCAGTCTGTAAGAAAAGCGTGAGGTTTCGTGCTTGCTTTCCTTTCCCAGTTGTGTCATTACCCAAAAGAAGAGCCAGGAATAGAATGAGAGCAGTATTGCACATCTAAAATTCAAGAGTGAGTTTTTGCTTTGTTTTTAATAAATGTGGTTTTGATTTTACAATAGAGATTACAGTAAAATGTCAGGAAATGAAGGAGGGGGTACCATTTTGGTCCCTTAACATTGTCCCTTGTCTTTCCTTAGTCCTCAGTATTCACATAACCATTTGGCAAACTCTTCATCTCTTCTTGTGAACTGTCTTTCACAAGAATGACAGTTCTTGGATGGAATGGAAATAAACCTTATAATTCTAGGTTCTGCTTGGACAAGAAGACTAGTATTTAGATGAAATCACACAGGAGAGTCCTCCCACACCTCCTAACACAGAATTATTCAGCCCAGTATGTTGGTAGTGGTGAGGGTGAGAAACTCTGGTCTAGAATCAACAGACTCTGATACCTGGAATAACATTTAAAATTATCTTGTACAAATTAAGTATCCCATAATATGGAAATAGTTAAGCCAGTCTTATCCTAGCCTTCCATAATAGTATATAACTGTTAATAAGATTATGTTCACCAAGAATCATAAAAAGATAGCTGGGTGCCAGTGACTTATGTCTATAATTCTATTTACTTTTGAGGTTGAGGTCAGGAGGATCAACGTTTGAGTCCAACCTGAGCACATAGTTCACTAGACCCCCATCTCCAACAAAACCAGAGCGAAATGAACTGGAGGTGTGGCTCAAATGGTAGAGCATCTGCTTTGCAAGCATGAAACCTTGAGTTCAAACCCTAGTCCCACTAAAAGAAAAAATAAAAAACAATGAAAAGAAAAATACTCAATATAAAGTTAAGCAGTAATCATGCTATAAACCATGGGAAAAACCATTTAGCAGTCAAGAAAAGTTTACATCACATAGGAATCTCATTTACTAAGAGTGGCTACAGAATGCTGAATACTCCCTAAGCAAGTCTATGAACATCCTCTACAGCATTTGTGCCTTTCTCTGTTTCACCCAATACTGAGTTCATGAAGATGTTCTTGTTTAGATGATGTGACCCTTCTCAGCACTGAAAGGTGAAATGGGGTGTGGGGGGAGAGAGGTGCCAAATCCTAGGCTAAGTTATGTATCCCAAGGCTGGTGGTCAGGTGGGAACCCTTCCTGGGATGTTTTGGAGAACATCAAGGCAGAAATACTTATCCTTTGCATTTCTGCATTCCTGCCTGTACAGTAGCTTCCCTGGGAGCTCGGAAAGAGCTTGGTTTTATCCAGACTCCTCCCGTCTGCTGCCAGTTTGTGTGTTTGAGAGGAAGTGTGTGTGTGGTTGGAGAGTCGTGGAAAGAGAAGCGTGAGCATAGGTAGTTAGGAAATGAAAGTACAGAATAATATCATCATGTTGATTTAAGTTACTCTGGGAGCTTTGAACTTGACAAAGGCCTTTTTGTTTTCCAAGAGAGGAAGCCTGAAGATTTGTCACTTTTCACAATTCTGAAAACATGGTCCAGGTAAGTTGTTACTTCTCTTTTCCTGGACATAGGATAACCCTCAGGTTAGGTGACTCTTTGCTATCATTTATTCTGTAGCTTCCTACCTATGGATCCAAGATCCTACTCCCCAGTTTTCCCCATTACATTGAGGGCTGGAAGTTCAGTGCTTTTTCTATTTGTCACTGTATTTTCCAACTCGTGTTGATTGCCCTCCTTATTCACCATGTGTTGTGTGCTTAGTCTTTGGTCAGGAGAAGTGTTGGAACAGTGGAAGAGTTGGTCACAAAGTGAAATAGGGCATTGAGAAGTTTGAGTTGATGTTATTAGATCACACTTGGGAAAGCCTTGAAAGTTCTCCCCAGATTTGAGCTTTCTGGGCAGAGGAGGTAGGATTTATAGTGAGTGACTGCCTCAGTCTGCATGTGCGACAAGATAACTTACTTCATGGGCTTTTAGGAAAATGCTCAGTGAAAGGCAGAAAGAAAAGATCACCTAGATTGTAAGTCAGAGGTAATTGCAGATTTCTAAAATTGAGCAAACCCTGAGACACTGACCATCTTAAATGTATAAATACTAAACAGCAGTTAATATGTTAGTTATATGGACTGTTATACAATTTATAAAAATTTGTTGTGATGAAAAAATACTGTTTTTTTTTTTTGGTGGTACTCAGGACTTCACCCTTGTGAGGCAGGTGCTCTACCACTTGAGTCATTCCTCAAGCTGGAAAAAATACTCTTGGTATCATCTGATACCATAATAAACTTGAGGACTGAGCATTTCTCAGTTGCAGATAAATCTTATTTTTAAAGATATTTTGTACAAAACTTTGGGAGACATTTCATGGATTTTGTTCTTGTTGTTGTAACTTAAAAGATAGATTTGCACATTTACCAAGCATTTGTGAGTCATACAGCAGGCACCATGATCATTTAGTGGAGAAGCTCAGACTGTTCTGGGACAAGTAAATTATTCCACAGCAGCAGGATTCTTCAGGAGCATGCAGCACCCTGTAAGTTTCCTACACTTAAATTTTTTTATTGTTCTTCAGCCAGTTTCCTTTAATTTCACTGTGGTTTTTAGGGGCCAGTGACATTTAGTGATGTGGCTGTCAACTTCTCTCAGGAAGAATGGGAATGCCTTGAACCTGCCCAGAGATACTTGTACAGGGATGTAATGTTGGAGACCTACAGCAACTTTGTCGCTGTGGGTAAGGTCATCTGCACAGTTCATGTGAAATGTTTTTTTGCAATATATCAGCTTTTCTCATTGTGAATTTCAGGGCTGTTTTTAAAGAGGTAGCTGAATTCCTTTTACCCAGAGAAATAGTTTAAGATTTGTTTGGTTGAAAATAGGAATTTCCATGAAGTGCCTGCCTCTTGCCCACCCCTCTTAGTATCTGTCCTCCCTTGAGTTAGTCCTCTGTGTAATTGCCTGTGTTTTTCATGAATGTGGGACTAAATTTGAAATCTTGGACATTCAATGAAAGATCAGGATCTAAGAAACTAGGTTTCATATTGTATTTCATCTCAGAAGTACTGTAGATGTTCTCTTTCTTGTTTTGTTTCTCCTTTTGGCCTACCTGCAAAGAAGACATCGTCTTTAATTTTTCTGTCAAAAGAGCCTCTGCAATTTATATAATATTGATTGGGTCAGCAGAATCCATTAAAACTCAAGTGAATATATTCTGTTTCTTTCAACAAACATTTCTTTTACCTGCTTTGAAGTTGAAAGTTTCAGGCCATGAAATTTGTCTTTTTAATTGAATGAGTGTACTACAGATGAACTGTAAATGTTTCAGGAGGAGAATAAATAACAAACATAATTTTTTAAAATTTGTGCTATTATACATCAGAACATTTGAAGTATTTTAAATATATTAACCTACTTAATTTTAGTATCAACACTATAAAATAGGTATTACCATCTGTATTTTTAGATATGAGCATTGAAAGAGTTTAGTGCTTGTCTAAGATATGGGTAATGGGTAGCAGAGACAGCATTTGAACCAGACAGTGGGTTTGAAGGTTCAAGCTCTCAGCCACTAAGTTACACTTTCTCTCAAAGTGCAAGACCTTCTATGAGTTCAAATGAAATTAAGTAATTTTTTCAAAGTACTTGGTGTCTCTTTCTTGAGCTTCTCATCTCTGAAGTCTTTCCTCAGACTCATAAATTTAACTGGTTCTCAGAGTTTTAAGAATAAGTTTATATTTTTAAAAATCTACATGGTGTGTTATTTCTTTTCTTCTAAGTGGGAAGGTTCATTTCCAAGCCAGATCTGATTACCTTACTAGAGCAAGAGAAAGAGCCCTGGTGGATGAACATGAGGAAAGAAAGAAGCAGGTGGAACCCAGGTAAGTGAGGATAAGGCAGACAGGGGAAGCCATCATTGTTGGGAAGGTCCTTGTGGTTAGAGAGGAACCACATTGCTAACCGTTGGTTGAAAAAATTTCTTCAGCAGACTCAAGTTGTATTGATAAAAATGTTTGCGATCTAGGGAGGAAATGAAGATCATAGCAAGAGCTGCCAAAGCATCTTCATTTTTACTCATCACCTACATTTTCTTCTCAGATTTCCTTCCCCTTTTTAGTGGAACAATTATCCTTTCTCTCTCAATGTAAATTTTTAATGTACAAAATAATGGGTTTCATTATGACATTTCCATGCATACATACATTGTACTTTGGTCACATTCATCCCCCACAACCCTCTTTTGTCACTCCCACCTTCTCTCTGGTCCCTCTACCTCAAATAGTCCTCTGTTTATATTTGTGTCTTTTTTTTCTGTTTGTATTTATGAATCTAGATTGTATATATGAGAGAAAAAATGTGGTGCTTATGAGTGAAGTATGGCTTATTTCACTTAACATGATGATCTCTAGTTCAATCCATTTCCCTGAAAATGATATAATTTCAATCTTCTCCGTGGCTGAATAATACTCCATTATACCACATTGTCTTTAATTATTCATTTTTTTGATGAGCAACTAGGCTGATTCAATGACTTGTAAACTGTGCTGTAAAAAACATGGTGTGTAAATGGAATTTTATGCAGCCATGAAGAAGAACGAAATGTTATCATTCGCTGGTAAATGGATGGAATTGGAGAACATCATTCTGAGTGAGGTTAGCCTGGCTCAAAAAACCAAAAATTGTATGTTCTCCCTCATATGTGGACATTAGATCAAGGGCACACAACAAGGGGATTGGACTATGAGCACATGATAAAAGCGAGAGCACACAAGGGAGGGGTGAGGATAGGTAAGACACCTAAAAAACTAGCTAGCATTTGTTGCCCTTAACGCAGAGAAACTAAAGCAGATACCTTAAAGCAACTGAGGCCAATAGGAAAAGGGGAACAGGTACTAGAGAAAAGGTTAGATCAAAAAGAATTAACCTAGAAGGTAACACCCACGCACAGGAAATCAATGTGAGTCAATGCCCTGTATAGCTATCCTTATCTCAACCAGCAAAACCCCTTGTTCCTTCCTATTATTGCTTATACTCTCTCTACAACAAAATTAGAGATAAGGGCAAAATAGTTTCTGCTGGGTATTGAGGGGGGGAGAGGGAGGGGGCGGAGTGGGCGGTAAGGGAGGGGGTGGGGGCAGGGGGGAGAAATGAACCAAGCCTTGTATGCACATATGAATAATAAAAGAAAAATGAAAAAAAATGGTGTGTAAATGTATCTATTGTATGCTGACATACATTCTTTTCTGTATATCCCCAAGAGTGATATGGCAGGAACATATAGTAATTCTTTTTTTGTTTTGAGGAACCCATACTGCTTTCCATAGTGCCTGCACTAATACACATTCCCACCAACAGTGTATAAGGGTTCCTTCTATTCCCATCCTAGGCAGCATTTGTTCTTCTTGTTTTCTTGATGGTAGACATTCTGACTAGGCAAGGTGGAATCTGAATGTTATTCTGATTTACATTTCCTCTGGCTAAGAATGTTGAAGATTTCTTCATGTGTTTATTGGCCATTTGTACTTCTTTTGAAAACTATTCATTTGCCCATTTGTTAATTGGGTTATTTATTCTTTTGGTGTTTAATATTCTGAGCTATTTATATATTCTGAATATCAATCTCCTGTCAGATGAAAAGCTGGAAAATTTTCTTCCATTTTGTAGGCCATCTCTTTACTATGGTAATTATTTCCTTTGATTTAATCCCATTTGTCAATTCTTGCTCTTATTTCCTAAGCTATTAGGAGTCCTGGTCAATAGTTCCCTGTGCCTTTATAGTAAGTGATATTCCTATTTTTTTTCCTCTAGTCGTTTCAAACTTTCAGGTCTTTTTTTTTTTTATTCTTATGTGCATACAATGTTTGGGTCATTTCTCCCCCTCCCTCAACCCCCTCCCTCTCCTTGCCAACCCCTCAATACTCAGCAGAAACTATTTTGCCTTTATCTCTTAATTTTGTTGTAGAGAGAGTATAAGCAGTAATAGGAAGGAACAAGGGTTTTTGCTAGTTGAGATAAGGATAGCTATACAGGGAGTTGACTCACATTGATTTCCTGTGCATGTGTGTTACTTTCTAGGTTAATTCTTCTTGATCTAACCTTTTCTCTAATTCCTGGTCCCCTTCTCCTATTGGCCTCAGTTGCTTTAAGGTATCTGCTTTAGTTTCTCTGCGTTGAGGGCAACAAATGCTATCTAGTTTTTTTAGGTGTCTTACCTATCCTCATACCTTCCTTATATGCTCTCGCTTTTATCATGTGATCAAAGTCCAATTCCCTTGTTGTGTTTGCCCTTGATCTAATGTCCACATATGAGGGAGAACATGTAATTTTTAGTCTTTTGGGCCAGGCTAACCTCATTCAGAATGATGTTCTCCAATTCCATCCATTTACCAGCGAATGTTAACATTTCAAACTTTCAGGTCTTAAATTAAGGTCTTTGTTCCTTTTTTTAGTTGATTTTTGTACAGGATGAGAGGTAGGAGTCATTTCAGTCTTCTACCTGTGTGTATCCAGTTTTCCCAGCATTTGTTGAGGAGGCTGTCTTTTCTCTAATGTATATGTGTGTTTTGAGCATCTTTGCCAATAATCAAATGGTTGTAGCCATGTGGACTTTTTTCTGGGTCTTCTATTCCATTCTTCCACATGTCTGTTTTGTGCCAATACCCCGCTGTTTTTGTTTCTATAGCTCTGTGTAATTTGAGGTCAGCTATCACAATACCTATGTTGCTGTTTTTGCTTAGGATTTCTTTGGCTGTTCTTTTGTGCTTCCATATGAGTTTGAGTATTGCTTTTTCTAATTCTGAATAATGTCATTGGAATTTTAATGGGGATTGCATGTAGTCTGTAGATTGCTTTCGGTAGCTTAGCCATTGTGACAGTATTCTGCTGATCCATGAATATAGGAGGTCTTTCCATCTTCTAATGTCTTCTTCACTTCCTTTTATAGTGTTTTATAGTTTTCATTGCAGAGGTCTTGTAAACCTTCTTTGTTAGGTTTATTCCTAGGTATTTTAGTCTTTTAGAGGCTCTGGTGAATAGGACTGCTTTTCTGATTCCTTTCTCAGCCTGTTCATTGTTAATGTATAGGAAAGCTACTGAATTTTGTATGTTGATTTTGTATCCTGCTGCTTTGCTGGAGGTGTTTATCACTTCTAATCATTTTCTGGTGGAGTCTGAGATCACATCATCTGTAAAAATAAGGATCATTTGATGTTTTCCTTTAATTTCTTTCTCTTGCCTTACTGGGTCTAGCTATGAGTTCAAGCACTATATTGAATGATAATAAAGAGAGTGAACACCCTTGTCTCCTTCCTGAATTTAGGGGATATTCTTCAGTTTTTACTCATTTTAGAACAGTGTTAGCTATAGGTTTATCATGTGTAACCTTTTTTATATTGCATTATGTTGCTTCTGTTCCTAGTTTCTTTGGAGCTTTTATCATGAAGGGATGTTAGATTTTTGTCAAAGTCTTTTTCTACATCTATTCTAAATGATCATAAGATTTTTGTGCCTAATTCTGTTTATGTACTGTATAATGTTTATTGATTTGCATATGTTGAACCATCCTTGCATTCCTGCAGTGAAACTTTCTTGATTGTGGTGTGTGTATTTCATGTGTTGCTGGATTCAGGTTGTATTTTATTAAGAATTTTTGGGGCTGCAGGTATGGCTTGAGTGGTAGAGCCCCTGCCTCGCAAGCAAGAGGCCCTGAGTTCAAACCCCATTACCTCCCCCCAAAAAAACAGGATTTTTGCATCTATGTTGATCAAATAAACTGGTCCATCATTTTCTTAGTTGTAGTTTAGGCATCAGGTAATACTAGCTTCATAGAATGAGTTTTCTAGCATTCTTTAATTTCTATTTTATGGAATAGTTTGAAGACCATTGGTATTAGTTGTTCTTTAAAGATCTGGTAGAATTCAGTGAAGCCATTCAGTCCTGGATTTTCTTTGTTGGGGTACTCTTTATCAGTGCTTCAGCCTCATTGCTTGTTACAGATCTATTTAGGTTATTTATAATCTCTGGATTCAATTTTGTTAGATTGTATGTATCTAGAAATATACCCATTTCTTCTAGATTTTCTAATTTATTTGAATATAAATTTTTAAAATATCCCCCATGATCCTTTGGAATTTGCTGGTATCTGTTTTAATGTCTCCTTATTTATTTCTAATTTTATTAATTTAAGTCTCCTCCTTACCTTTGGTTAGTTTGGCTAAAGGCTTATCAGTATTCTTCATTTTTTCCTAAAAAGGAGCTCTTTCTCTCATTGGTCTTTGTGTTCTTTTAGTCTCTATTTCATTGATTTTTGCCCTGATCTTTACTTTTTCTTTCTGTCTACTACAAACTTGATTTGGTTTGTTTTTTCTTGTTTTTCTAGGACTTTGTGGTGTATCATTAGGTTTTTTGAGGTCTCTGTGATTTTTTAATGTAGGCAGTCATGGCTATAAACTTCCCTCTTAGAGAACTGCTTTAGCTGTATGTGTATTATAACTCTCATTTAATTCTAACTCCTCGATATCCTCAGTGGCCCCCTAATCATTCAGAAGTGTATCGCTCAATCTCTATGTGTTTCTCTAGTTTTTCTTAGTACTGATGTATTGTTTTATCCTATTATGATCTGATAGGATACAAAAAATTGTTTTCTTGTATTTTTAAGAACTGTTTTATGGCCTAAAATGTGATTTATTTATCCTGAGTGCTATTTACTGTTACTGTCCATAGCATTTCCTTGACACCCTTCTCTCTTTGAGCCATGAATCTGATGACTGTTTTAGTTCATGGAGGCTTGGGAAAGGGCTGAGTGTCTCTAATCTGCCATTTTTCTCAAGTCAGTGTAAATTTTTAACTTATTTTGGATCCATCTGCTTGCCAGCTCTGCTTTTGCATTTAGATTTATATGCATCTTTCCACTGTCTGAAACATGCATCATATATTAGCAAATATTTGTTGAGTGTCTCCTCTGAACAAGATGTTGTGCTTGGCACTATTAGTATAGTGATAATGAATAAGATTGCCAAAGTCCCTGCTCTCACATGTTTTGCCATTAGTTGGTAAGTCATGGATTAAACAAGCAAAGGAATGAATAAGTAACATTAGAGAATTGTAATGGAGACATGCATGTAGGAGCAATGGGGTGAGAATAACAGCACTTGGTGAGTCACAGAACATGTCTAAAAGTGGGCATTCCTGCACAGAGGTGTGAAGCAAGAGTTCAGGCCCATTACTAGGTGAGAGCATTCCAGTCAGACTGAGCGGAAAACAATGGCCTAAGAAGCAATGATGTCTGTGATTGTGAGCAGTAAGATGGTTAGCTCAGAGTAAGTGAAGGGAGATAGGTGTGTTAGGCCAGAACAAGATTGTCATGTGAGGAATATAGAATATTTGCAGCCCATGTTCTGATGTATGCTTAACATTTTTTCACATTTTAGTTTTTAAGCAAACTATCAGAAAAATACAGAAAGTCATAAGAAACAAAGAATTGCATCATTATTTTAACATACGCATGCAATAACACCAAGTCATGATAAAGCCAGCTGCCCCAGCAGTCTCTCATGTACTCACCTTTCCTTCCCTGCTAGAAATTTTTTCAGAGTTGATGTTCTATGTGAATATCTCCAAGTAGTCTGATTTTATTTTGCCTACTGTTCTAAAATATCTTTGAAGTCTCTTATGGTTTCACATTCAATTAAAAAAAATCCTTCCTTATTTTTCTTGATAGAAGTTCTGTAGTTTCTCACCCTCTAGATTTTGCTGATTGCCTCTTTGTGGAACAGATTAACGTGTTCCTCTCTCTATTCCTTGTAATTTGGTATTTGTATCTGGAAATTTAGTGAAACTCTGGTGTTGACTTTATATTTTGGCAAGAATGTTTTTCAGATGGTGGTATGCCTCAGTCAGTTAGCACATGTTTGTCTGTCTTGTTTTAAGTAATGTTAGTAGCTATCTGTGGTCAGTTTCTATGTCCATTAATTCACAAGAGGTTGCAAAATGATGGTATTTGATACCTATTCTTCATTCATTATTCATTAGCTGGAATACATCTATAAAAAGAAACTGCCTCAGTTATCACTTGGTTACTCAATTAGTTACATAGATAATATGGAAAAGCCAGTCCTTTTCCTTTGCTTACGAGTTTACAACCTAATGAGTTAGCTTCTTAGCATCCTTTCAAAGGTGGCCTATGTTTCAGAATGACTATGAATACATGGAATTAAAATATTTACTATGTCTCACTGTAGTATTTTTACTGATGCTAACATTGTCTCATCATTGTCCAGTGGGAACTTTCTGAAAGTGACGCTTGAGCCCCTTTAGCCTGACCTTGGTAGTCTTTCAGAGATTCTAAGCTGTATAGGAAAACAACCTGTTCTAGTCCATCTTTTCCAAACCTGGAATTAGGCATGTCCCCAGGCATTTAATGGAAAATATTTCAAGACCACAGTTTGGCCTTTTATATTTACTCAGATAATAGGTTTATTTCTCTTGCTCTTTTATTCCTAATATTCCAGATTTTCTTATGGTATCCTTTTGTTTCCCATTTTTAGGTATACATGATGAGCTGGCCCAAATGTGCATTTGCTCCCATTTGAAATAGAAGTGGTATCAGACAAGTTCTGTTTATCATAGTTATTTTTTGTTTATTTTTTTAGTGGTCCTGGGGTTTGAACTCAGAGCTTCACACTCTACCATTGGTGCTCTACCATTTGAGCAACACCTTTAGCCCTTTCTACTCTGGTTATTTTAGAGATAGGGTCTTGCTTTTTGCCTAGGCTGGCCTGGACTGTGATCCTCTTATTTTAAACTTCCTGCTATAGTTGGGGTGACAGGCATGCACCTTCATGCCCAACTATTGGTTAAGATGAAGTCTCATGAGCTTTTTGCCTGGGCTGGCCTTGATCTGTGTTCCTCCTGATCTCAACCTCCAGGTAGCTAAGATTACAGGTATAAGCCACTGGCACCCAGCTAGTGGCTCTTTAAATTAAGTTTTTGAATTAATGATTATGATAACCCTTTCCCACTGTGTTTGTAATTTATCTCTATTCTCAACCTTGTTTCCCTTATTAATCAGTTATTCATTTGTTTTCTAATGATCTTTTAAACACTAATTATGTGGCATGTGCCTGTTACTAAATGGTGGATGCTATCAGGATTGTGTAAACAGTTCTGTACTATGACCTATGCCTAGAACCATTGACAGATTTAGGCACAAAAAATAGAAAAAGAAATACCTTCATGAGTGAAAATATAATAATTTGTAAAGGCAAGAAATAGAGCTTTGGAATAGAAAGTAAAGGTTGGGGATTTACTTGGGGCCCAGCAGGTACAGTTCTTCTGAGAAAAATATATATCTTAAGTTTTAAAAGTGAATAGACTGTTTTGTATAAGAAGCTAGGTGAGAAGATGCTTGGGTGATGAAACAGTCTGAGCAAAGCAAGAAGATACTAAAAAGTTTATTGATTTTAGGAGTAAAAACAGGCCATCCAAAAAACAGTTTTAAGTATGATTCTTCAACTTTGACCTACATCAGAACCATCTTTTGAAAATAAATGTTCTTAGGATCTACCCTAAAAGTTCTGAATGTGTGCATCTGAGTTGCTTGAATATCAATATTTGTAACAAGCTTACCGATGATTTTGATTCACACCTAGTTTCAAAAAGTTAACCTCTTAACTACATTTTTGTTTTTGTTCAAATTCTCAGAAACTATTTTAGAGTTACATCATTTAATAGGTCTTGTATGTATATGTATCATAGGAAAATAAAATATGCTTTCCCTTTTTCTTTTAGATTTGGAGTCATATTATGGAGCTGATAAATTATTTCCAGAAAATCATATTTATGAACTCATTTTACCCAAACAAAATATAAAGCAAATAAGTAAAACTCTTGGTCTAGAAGCCTCCAGTTTTAATAACTCAAAATATAGTACATTTGAGAGACTACAGAGATATCAAGACAGGTATGTCAATCAGAAGATAATTGGTTATCAAAAAATACCTACTTATGCTTGCCATACTCTTACTCACAATACAGACAAATCACATGAATGTAAGGAATGTGGGAAGTCTAATCATGCCTCAGACCGTGTTCAACATCAGAGTACTCATGCTGGTGTGAAACCATATGAATGTAACGAGTGTGGGAAAGCTTTTAATCCTGGCTCAAACCTCATTCAGCCTAAGAAGATTCATTTCAGTGAGAAATCCTTTGTATGTAAGGAATGTGGGAAGGCCTTCAATTTTTACCAGCTTCATGAACATTGCCAAATTCATCCTGGTGAGAAACCTTTTGAAAATAAAGAATGTGGAAAGTCCTTTACTCTTCTGACACAGCTTACTCAGCATAAGAACATTCATATTGATGAGAAACCCTTTGAGTGTAAGCAGTGTGGGAAGACCTTCAGTCGTGGCTCAAACCTTTTTCAACACCAGAGTATTCATACTGGTGAGAAACCATTTGAATGTAAGCAATGTGGGAAGGCCTTTAGACTTCACCTGCTACTTTCTCGGCATCAGAAAACCCATTCAAGTGAGAAACCCTTTGAATGTAAGCAATGTGGTACCACCTTCAAACATCAATACTACCTTATTGAACATCAGCGAATTCATACTGGTGCAAAACCTTATGAATGCAAGGAATGTGGGAAATTCTTTCGCCGTGGTTCAAATCTTATTCGACATCGTAGTATTCACACTGGAAGCAAACCCTTTGAGTGTAAGGAATGTGGGAAGGCCTTTAGACTTCATATACAGCTTATTCGACATCAGAAATTTCATAGTGGTGTGAGACCTTTTGAATGTAAGGAGTGTGGAAAGACCTTTAGTCTTCTCACCCAGCTAAATTACCATAGGAACATTCATACAGGGGAGAAACCATTTGAATGCAAGGAATGTGGGAGGTCCTTTAATCGTATTTCAAACCTTGTTCAACATCAGAGAATCCACACTGGTGAAAAACCCTTTGAATGTAAGCAATGCAGGACAGCCTTCAGGCGTCAGTATCAACTTACTGAGCATCAGCGAACTCATACTGGAGAGAAACCCTATGAATGCAAGGAGTGTGGGAAGGGCTTTAGTCGTAGCACACACCTTAGAGTTCATGAGAGAAGCCATAGTGGTGAGAAGCCCTTTGAGTGTAAGGAGTGTGGGAAGGCCTTCCGACATCATTACCTATTTCTTGGACATTACAGAATTCATACTGGTGAGAACCCCCATGAATGTAAAGAATGTGGGAAATACTTTTCTTGTGGTAGAGACCTCAGAGTACATCAAAGAATACATACTGGTGAAAAACCATACCAATGTAAAGAATGTGGGAAGGCCTTTAGTCGCAATTCAAACTTAGTTCAGCATGCTAAAATTCATACTGGTGAGAAATCCTGTGAATGTAAAGAATGTGGGAAACCCTTTAGCAATAATTATGAACTGACTGTACATCAGAGAAATCATGCTGGTGAGAAACCTTACGAATGTAAAGAATGTGGGAAGACGTTTAGTCGTAACTCAAACTTAATTCAACATGCTAGAATTCATACTGGTGAGAAGCCCTATCAATGTAAGGAATGTGGGAAAGCCTTTAGCAATAATTATGAGTTGACTGTACATCAGAGAGTTCATACTGGTGAGAAGCCCTATGAATGTAAAGAATGCGGCAAAACTTTTAGATTTCGTTCAGCTTTTACTGCACATCAAAGAATTCATACTGGTTTAAGACCCTATGAATGTAAGGAATGTGGAAAGACCTTTAGTTGGAGCTCAAGTTTTATACATCATAAAAGAATTCATACTGGTGAGAAACCTTACGAGTGTAAGGAATGTGGGAAAGCCTTTAGAGTTAATTCAGTCCTTTCTGCACATCAGAGAATTCATACAGGTGTAAAGCCCTATGAATGTAAAGAATGCGGGAAAACTTTTAGACTTAGTTCACCTTTTATTGCTCATCAGAGAATCCACACTGGTGAAAAACCCTTTAAATGTAAGCAATGCAGGACAGCCTTCAGGCGTCAGTAATATGAATTCAGCATCAGCGAATTCATACTGGAAAGAAACCCTATGAATGCAAGGAGTGTGGGAAGGGCTTTAGTCGTAGCACACACCTTAGAGATCATCAGAGGATCCATACTGGTGAGAAACCCTTTGAGTGTAAGGAGTGTGGGAAGGCCTTCCGACATCATTACCTATTTCTTGGACATTACAGAATTCATACTGGTGAGAACCCCCATGAATGTAAAGAATGTGGGAAATACTTTTCTTGTGGTAGAGACCTCAGAGTACATCAAAGAATACATACTGGTGAAAAACCATACCAATGTAAAGAATGTGGGAAGGCCTTTAGTCGCAATTCAAAATTAGTTCAGCATGCTAAAATTCATACTGGTGACAAGCCATATGAATGTAAGGAATGTGGCAAAGCCTTTAGCAATAATTATGAACTGAGTGTACATCAGCGAGGTCATACTGGTGAGAAGCCCTGTGAATGTAAGGAGTGTGGGAAAACTTAGATTTCGTTCAGCTTGTCTTGCCCATCAGAGAATTCATACAGGTCTGAAACCCTATGAGTGTAAGGAATGTGGAAGGACGTTTAGTTGGAATGCAAGGCTTATTCATCATAAAAGAATTCATACTGGTGAGAAACCCTGAGTATAAGGAACATGGGAAGGTCTTTAGACTTAGCTCCTTTCTGCACAAGGGAGTGTTCATTCTGGTATGAAACTGATATGTAAGGAATGTAGGAAAAGTTTCAAACTTCCTTTAGCTTTTACTGGCCATTGAGAATTTACACAGCTCTGAAACCCTATAAATGGTTACCTTACTCCACACCAGAAAATTCAGAATCTTCAGAAATCCTATGAATATAGGGTATGGACAGGCCTTTGTTCTGTATGAAAAATTTGCTCAACATCAGAGAAGTCATATTGGAGAGTAATCCTATGATTATAAAAGAAGATTGGAAGAACCTGAAATGTGAATTGGAATTTGCTCAACATTAGTATTTGGTGAAAAACCCTTTGAAAACAATGTGGAAAGTGGTACCTAGAGTTCAGAGAAGATATTCTAGTGAGAAAGTCTTTGAATGTGAAGAATATAGAGTAGCATTCATGTTCATAATGTACTCCTTATGAGATATCTTATTTGATCCACTAGTTCTATAAACTTAGGTCTTTGAACAATAATCAATCCAGCATACTGAAACTAGGGGAAAACAGTTACAGGAACAAATGTAAGAAAAGATTTACTTGAGGTACATTGTTTATCATTGCCATCCTACTATGACATTAGGCTAGATGTTTATTTTATTTTTCCATCATTTGTAAAATAGCAGTTATAGTACCTAATACTATTGTGCAAAGGGAATAGTACCTAGTACAGTTGTGAAAGTGAAAGTGTTTTAGTACATATAAATTCCTTGAAAAAGTATCTGACCACACCTGTGCTCATAAATAATAGCTTTTACATTGTTCTTTCCTTAGCATTAATTCGGTGAGAGGAAAGTCATTATTTCAGATAATTTAAGAAAACCTCACCCATTCATCCATTATTAAACTTTAATTCATTCTGGATAAAATCTAATGAAAGGTAAAGAACATAAAAGGCCTTTTTTTTTGGTGGTGATGATGGTGGTGGTACTGGAGTTTGAACTCAGGGCCTCGCACTTGCTTGGCAGGCACTTTATTACTTGAGCCAGACCCTCTGGCCCCACAAAAGGACTTTTATTGAGCACTCACTAAGTTACATAAAATTAATGCTAGAAAGAAACCCTATGGATTTAGTGAGTATGGAGATGTTGACAATATAACTGTTGAAGAATTGAAGTTTTTTTTTTTAAAAGTGATTTGCCATAAAAATTTCAAAAGGCCAAAAATCCTATAATTTATGATCTATCCAGAAGTTAAGATAAATTATATATTAGCCAGAAATAGAAAAGTAAAAGTTACTTACAAAGTGAACTATTATGAAAATGTTTATACATACAGGAAAGTTGAAATACTCAAATATACACCCATGTACTCCTGCCCAGATTCAAGATAGTTAACAATTTGTTGTATTTTTATGTATAGTTTTGTTGTACTTTAAGTTTTATGCACCATTACATTTTACCCCTTGTTATATCAGCGTGAATCTCTCAGACATTCAGTATTATAGAGCCACAGTGCCATGATCACTCTTGGGAAAACCATCCATAATTCTGTAATACTCGGATTTCTTCTGTGGCCCCCAAACACTTTTACAACTAAGGAAAAAGTTCTAGATTCTGTCTTGCACACACGCTTTCTCTGTTTGTGTGTTGCTGGAGATTCAACCCTGAGCCTTGTGCTTGCCACACAAGCACTCTACTACTGAGCTGCATCCGTAGTACAAAGGAAGTTAGGTTGAAATTAAACATTTTGAGAAAATAATTTGAGTGGGATGTTTGTTGTACTGCAACACTAAGTACCAGCCATCCCATTACTAATGAAGTAAACTGTGCTGATTTGGCTAAGATGGAGGCTGCCACATCTCCACTGTAAACGTCTAGTTTGAGGTTAAGTAATCTGTGTGGAGAGGCTTTGCCACCTCTCTGAGTATGTGTAATGTGTAGTTTAGTCTTGGGTCAAATATGCGTAAGAATTGAAACAGGCTGTTTTGAAATGAGTGGCATTAAAGTATTAACATAATGAAGTGTGATACAGTTGAAACTGTACTCAATACAGAATTGGTGCCCTTCAGTGTAAGCAGGAAACTGAGACTGTTTTGCCTTTCCAAGACTGTGGAACCTTGTTTTGTTCAGCACTTTAGCCCCACTGCCTATACTGTGTCTGACACATGAGCAATTGTAATAAAGCTGGTTAAGAAAAAAAGTAAAGGTGACACCATTGTGGCATTATGCACTAGAAAGGGAAAATAAAATGATGATTCTCCCCCCCTTTTAAGATTAAGAATAATCCTGTGTTTATTCTAGTGTATTTAAAAACCCACAGTGATAATTTATATTAATAGATTTCTTCTATTCCAGAATATACACTGGCCACATAAAGTATATTATTCTCTTGATATGCTTACTTCCCATTTCCCATTTACTTCATTGCACTTGTAAGTTAACAGTATAATTTTCTAAGTATTTTTCAGTTTTTGATATAGCAGTTGTCTTTTATTTAAAGATTATACAAAGTGTGATTTTCAGATCTCAAGCTCTTATATCTTGTTTCCAGTTCCATCCATTTTGTGTTCATTTGTTCTCTTTGAGTTTGACCTTTGGACCCAGCAGATGTCCTTGGTATCTACCCAGCACAGTTTTTTAAGGGGCTTTATATACCTGGTAGTGCCATCAAAGACAGAAAGAAAAGATCCCTAGGGGCCTCTCAATGGAAGTGTACTATGGCAATACTGTGTTGAGAAGTCAGAGCCTCTTTGTAAGTTTAGTCACTTTAAAATAGTCTTACAAACTATATATGTAAAATTCTGTATATTGCCTAATACTTTAAAAGATTTTTATTAGCATAAATTAATTGTAAAAGGGTTTTCATTGTGATATTTACATACATGCATATAATGTACTTTGATCAAATTCACCATTTACATGATCTTGTTAACCCCCTCCTTCCTCTCTGTTCCCCCTCCCTGTGAGTCCCTCTTTTATAGTCATGTCATTTTAATGTTGTTTTTAGGTCTGGATTCTGTATAGGAGTGAAAACATCTGATATTTGTCTGAGCTTGACTTGTCTTGCACAACCTGATGATCTCCAATTCTATCAGTTCTCATGCAAATGATACAATTTCATTCTGTTTGCTGAATAATACTCCACTGTGTTTATATTCCAGTTTCTTTCTCCATTCATTATTTGCCTAATACTTTTTAAAGCAAGAAAGTATCCATAGGATATCTCCTTGCTTACAAGATGAATGAATTAATTTTCAAAGAAACCTCAATTTTAGTTCTTTTTCTTTATTATGCTTACTCCTGTTATTATTTCACATTGTTGCCTTTGTGGAGTTGGACAGTTTAGGTCTTTATTGTGTTACTAGTATTTTTACTTGTCCCCAAAGAAAGAGATAAAGACAAGGTTGCAGGATCTTGAACAAGATTCTGATGCCAAGTGACCCTGAATCATTGTTAAAAGTCCCTTTGAATTTTTGCTGATATTGGTGTATTAGAAAGATGTGGTTTAAATTATAGTCTGAATACATTTAATTGTATCTCTATAATCCTTTTCAGGATTGCTTGATCAGCAGTATTTAATCTCTTCTCCATTACCTTTATAATTCATATCACTATAGTATAGTAGCTACTTTTAAAGCATTTTATGTATATGCTTTTAGTATTTCTCTTTAGGGCATTTGGTTATTTTATTTTTTTGAAATTCTATTGAATTCTTATTTATTTGGATAATGAAGCACTGATTTTTTTGGACCGCCCTTTTACACATGGTTAGTATGAGTGGCTTCTGGTATGGGTGCATTTCCTCCAATCCAGGAATATTACCTGGAATGGTATAGTCAAAGTTCCCTGTATTTCATCCTGCTTCTACAGATGAATACAAATAGATTACTGTATCCTTTAAACAAACATAAAACAGATGAAAAGATAAACAGCTTTTATTGTCAGCTGAAAATAAGATTAATTAAAATCTTATGTGGACATTTATACTTTAAGTATGGTATTATGTTGGAAACGTGATATCTTTTCAGTATCCATATGAATGTGATCTTAACAGACTTCTCCCACTTAACAATATTATGATTACCAATGCTCACATTGGCACATCGTGGCCTGTAGGAGTTACTATACATTTGTTCCTTTGACTGTTATAAGAACTGTTTATAGTCCTCAAGAAAATGTGTCATACTGACCCTGCTCGTTGGTTTGTTCTCCCATGCCCCACCCTGAGTCATGGAATCAGCTCATGATTCAACCTCTCTTAAAGACCCATGGTTACTTTTTAAAGTAAACTGTATTAAAGACCAAAATTCCTTGCTGCTATGGTGCACAAAGTTTCAGGTATGGAAAAAAGCCACTGATTTTTTTTTCAAGGCAAAATACCATTTTGTCATAGCTATGTATTTCTTAGTCACCTAGTATGTATAAAGCTATGATGTCATTTATACTAGCTTCCTATTTTTCATGTTTTAATCTTAATTTTTAGTATAAATAAGTTGTATAAAGGGATTTATTATGGTACTTACAACATGCATATAATCACTTTGATCAGATTTACCTTATTTACATTACTCTTTCTTGACTCTTCTCCCTCCTATTTAATAGTTTTTAGTGGGTTTCATTATGTTACTTTCATACACACATATAATGTACTTCTATAATATTCGTTCCTGTCCACTTCTCCTTTCCCCTTCCCATCACTCACTAGTTCTCCCCCTGAAAGAAGTACCCCCTTTTACAATCTTGTCTTATTTTTTATTTCTAGACTTGGTTTTTATTAGAATAGTTTTGCAGTTGTACTGACAATTGAACACAGGGCCTTTTACAGGCCAGTGCTCTACCATTTGAGTCATGCCTTCAGCCCTTTTGTATTTTGCCCAGGCTGGCCTCCAACTCTTGATCCTCCTTCCTTCACCTGCTGAGTAGCTGGGATTACAGATGTGTACCACTGTAAAATATCATTTTAAGGTCATAAAATTCACACTGATACCGCCAAATTTATACT